TAAAAAATTTTATAGTGGCTTGACGGCTAGCCGGCTTAGCCGGCTAAGGTTTTTTTAACGGCTGATATCACTAGTTTTAGTTAACCAATTTTGCATCATTATAAAGCAAAATTGTTTAATAGTGGTTCAGTTTGACTGTATGCTGTTAAAAGTATAAATCTCAGAAGAATTCCAAACATGATTTTCAGGAATTAAATAATATTAAAATAGATTAAATTTTTACCAAAATTCACAACAAATATGGGCACTATTATTTATATATATTAAAATTAATCACTATATATATATGTTTGAAAATTAATTAAAAACAATAAATTTTTTTTAAAAAAACTAATATCTTAAAAAGACAAAAAATATTAAGAGAGATATTAATCTTATTGAAGTTTTATTAAACCAAAGGAAAGTGATTAAAACTACAAAAAAAATTTATTCTCATTCAAGAACAAATCTTTCACTTTTTATGATTATTTTTGCTAGTCCTTTGTAAGGTTTCCAGTTCAAACTATTTTTGAAAAAAAAAAACAGCTTTGGAAATAGTTTGGGCCCATAAAAATTATTTTTTGCCAAAAGTGTTTCAACCAGAAACCTAAGTCCTTTGTGTATAATAAATTTTTTGATTTTGGTTTCAGTCCACTCTGTTTATTTTTAATAAATAAAATTCATCATTAATCTAATAATAGCATGATTATAAATGCATCCAATATTAAAAAAAACTACATGTTCAAACAAATATTTCATTTTTAAATAAATTATTTTTATATTGTGGGAGGAATGTCATTTAAAAAACCTATGGTACAAATTATTTTATTTGATGGTCCAACTTCCACAATTACATCTTTTTGATAGGTTGTGGGTTGGGATGTTCACCATTACAATATACTCGTTTTCTATTCCAAAATACTTCATTTACATTATAATACCCATCAACATCAGAAATACCACTTCTATTGTCATTAGTATTATCAACACCACCACAGATATATGTTACTGGTTTATTATTTCTATAATAGGTAGCAGCTGAAAAAACAATTAGATTGCCTTCATCATCACAATAATCATGTTGTTAAAAAAAAATCTCAGCTTCAATCTGATTGTGAAGCAAATCTAAATTAATTAAAAATTAATTAAAATTGTGTAAAATATTTTTAATACGAATCAACTTTCTATAATATAGTTGAAGGAATATCAAGAAAAAATATTTACCTTTTATGAGATAATTTTTTTACATGACCATCCATGTTTCAAAGTAATTTGCATTTTATTTGTATCATCTGAGTCTCCAACAATAAATATATTTAAAAATTTTTCAAATAGTCCGAAAGTTAAATAACCATCATTGCTGACACTGAACATGATTGCTAAATTGAGATTTACACATCCATAAGAAGTTCATTTTCTTCAGTCACCAATTCATCAAGGAAATCCGAGTTTATAACGTACTCTCTTAGAATTGTTTCTGATAAATAGTTTATATATACAAGACACGGGGAAGGGGAGAAACATCCTTCCCAAGTGAGGGATATTATTTTTAAATGAAGGAATGATGAAAACTTCACTTAAAGATAAACTTCACTTGAGATGGAGGAGAGCTACACTTGGAAATAGATACATCTTTATGTAAACAAAAAAATTTGGGGAAAAATTTTTTTATCTCGTCTCATCTATTACTATATTAATATGTATTAATATACTATTGGATAATTAATTTATTGGCACGTGATTTGATAATACGTCACCAAAACCTCTGAAATTTTCTTTAAAATTTTGTTCTAGTACCAGTTAATATATAGAAAAAGTCGAAATTTGATTGGCCGTGTCACGTACGATTCAACATTTTTAAATTTCGGACGATTTTCCATTATTAATTAACCAAATCTTTTAATAAAATAATTTATTTTATCAAAATGATTATTAAAGAGTATAGGGTAATAAATAATTGCACAGCAGAAGAATATCAGGTAATAAAAATAAGATAGTTATAACATTATATTTGATATTAAATTGATTTTGTGTGTGTATAGATTGCACAATTGTACGCAGTTGCTGAAGCTTCAAAAGCTGAAACTGGTGGAGGTGAAGGAGTGAAAGTGGTTAAGAATGAACCCTATGAAAATGAAAACGGAAAAGGACAATACACATATAAAATTTATCAACTTTCTAGGTTTGTTTTAAGAAAAATTGAATTTGAAAATTTATTTAGAACAGACACTTTAATTGATTCTAGTAATATATGTAATGTATAAATTTTTTTAATCTATCAGCAAAGTTCCATCCATTATTCGAGTTTTGGCACCTAGTGGAGCTCTTGAATTATATGAAGAGGCATGGAACGCATATCCTCATTGTAAAACAGGTAAAAAATAAACATTTCTTGAGAGAAAATAAATTATATAATCATATTTACCCGGTATTAATGGTGAATTTATTAAATAAAATTTTTCTTAATATTTTCAAAAGTTTTAACCGTAAGTATTATTATATACTGTAGTTATAAGTTTACAAGTATATGTATGTATTAAAAGATGATTTTATTTTTCTTCCCAAACAGAATGGTTATATGAAAGAAAATTTTAAATTAATTACAGAAACTATGCACGTGAATGATAGTCGCGGTGAAATAGATAATGTGTGTTATATATATTTATATATTTTTAATTTTTTCTGTTATTATAGTAATTATAATAATTATTTATTTTAAAGGCATTAAAGCTTCCACAAGATTCACTTGAACAACGTAAAGTTATAATAATTGACGTGGCAAATGATACAATTGATCAAAAGGATTATAAGGAAGATGAAGATCCTACTTTGTATCATTCTAGAAAAACTGGCAGAGGACCATTGAAAGGTGATTGGATCGTAAGTGCGATAAAAAAAAGTTAAATTTTTAAGTTTGAATCCTTGATATAATATTTATGTTATTATTATTATTATTATTATTATTATAGAATAAAGTTACACCTGTTATGACTTGTTATAAGCTTGTAACTGTTGAATTCAAATGGCGTGGGATTCAAAGCAAGATTGAAGCATTTATTCATAGTGTAAGCTATATATTTCATATGTACATATACTGTAACATTACTAATAGTTATTAACATTTTTCTTAAAGACGATGCAATCGTTGTTTACAAGATTTCATAGACAATTATTTTGTTGGACTGATAAATGGTTTGGTCTATCATTGGATGATATAAGAAAATTAGAAGATAAAACGAAACAAGAACTAGATGAGGTAATTTATTCTTTGCTTTAATAATTATTTGTTGGAGTTGAGCCCTTCTAATTAAACTTGGGTAATTTGTATTTTTTAATTTTCTAGTCAATCAAAGCCCCAATAACGAACCAAAGCCAATCTAATTAATTAAAAAATCGCGTCTTGTAAAAACACACGGATTTTACAAAACATTTGTTTTTATTTATTTATTTATTATTATGATTGTTGTATTTTTTGTTTTTTGTTTATATTGTTACAAAAATATATTTTTATTCTAAAAGAATCTTTATGGCAGTTGCAATACATGCCAGCGAGACGTAAGGACTCAATCTTTCACCTATTCATATCAATTCATATTAAATAAATTAAATAAATAATAATAAAATTTTTTTATATTAAATATTAAAATTCATTTACCTATTCTTGCAAACTTCCAAAATAAACCTAAAAGGCTATTTATTATCATTTTATATAAATTTAACGTTTCAATAATCTAATGGATTGTCTCAGGAATGAAAAAGAAAAAGAGCAATAATAAGAACATTATATCATACAAACCCTGTCTTGTTTTTATCAAGCATAGTTGGAGCCTGAGCTTTTATGTAAGTACAGGTACAAATTGTTAACAAGATTACGAGTAAAAGGCTTTGGAAATTAAATAATGCTGACTATAAAAAGCAATATTAAATTATTATTAAATAGATTTATATTTATGCAAGAGTATTTTTATTACATTCATTATTAATACTCACCATTATTATTTATTATTATTACTATTACAAAAATTAAATTTTCAAACAATTTTGGTTTATCAGGCGATAAATGATTGGTTGATCAAATCAATCAAAAATTTAGAAAATAAACATACATTATATTATACACACAATGACAACAAATTTAGAAGAGGCACTGAAACCTCAAAGCATGCCTAGTGGCCCTAGAAACATTTTACGATCAAATGATTCTGCAAGTCTTTGGAATTGTACCCTTTCACCAGGTAAATTTGATATTAAAATTCAAATAATAATTATCACCATATTTATATAATTTTAATTTGATAGGATGGTCAAGAGAAGAATGTGATGTTTTTCGAAAAGCTTTAATGAAATTTGGTATTGGAAATTGGGCAAAAATCATTGAATCACAATGTTTACCAGGTAAAACAAATGCTCAAATGAATTTACAACTACAAAGAATGTTGGGACAACAAAGTACAGCAGGTAAAAAATAGTTTTGTTTTTTTTTTTAAAATTACCTCATTTAATTATAATTATATATAACTATATATACACACACACACATAGAATTTGCAAGTTTACATATAGATCCATTGGTAATCGGAGAAAAAAATTCAAAGATTCAAGGTCCTGACATAAAACGCAAAAATAATTGTATTGTAAATACTGGAGGTAAAGGATTAATTCTCTTATTGATAATCATGTTATTATCTTATTAATAATGTTTATTATTATTATTATTATTATTATTATTATAATAGGTAAACCTACACGAGTAGAGATCAAGAAGAAAATTGAAAAAAACAAAGAATTGTGTGTAATTATTATTTTTATTTTCATCAACACTTTTATTAACCCTTTGACATTTCCTCCACGGTACAAAATATTAGATATGAGATTTCAGAAGAAGAATGGTTAAAGATCGAACTACCTAAACCTGAAGATGTTTGTTTCCTTCTTTAAAACCTTCCTGAAATTTCCTTAATTAATCAAGTTATCACTAAAAATTTTTTTCCTTTCTATATTTAAGCCAGAATTAGGTACTATATATCCACATACACACACACATTATATGAAAATTTGTATATAATAAAATTTATATTTTAAAATCAATGTAATAGAATTACAAACAAAACGTGAAGAACTTCGTCGATTACTAGAAGAATTAGCAAATGTACAATCACAAATCGCCACCATAAATCAAAAAAATCAAGTATCAAAAGTTTGTCTAAAATCATTGTTACTATTATTACAATACTAATAATATTTAATATTTACAATATCTCTCTTGATTTATAAATTGAAATTTATTTTTTGGGTATAAACAAGAAGGAGGAAGAAATGCCCGATTCCTTATCTTCTGATGAAACAACAACAAAACCTGCAAAAAAAAGTCGCACGTCTACAAATAATAAAATAAGTAAATCCACCGGTAAAGGAAAAAAGAGAAAATAATTCATTAATAAATGGGATGCTAATTAATGAATTAATGACTCTTTAAAAATCCATTCATATTTAATTTTGAATTTTAATAAAAACCTTTAAAAAAATTATAGCATAAAATACTTTAATCAGCTATTTAACTGGTATCGATGGCTTGTAAAATGACGCAAATAATTTATTTTATTTTATTTATTATATGATTATGTTAGTTTATCAATTATTTTAATTACTTTAATTAATACTTATTCATGCAAAATTTGGACATTATGAAAAAGGTCATCCACAGCTCATTCAGATTTAAGGGCTTTTGAATATCAATGGCAATAGAACATTCATTAGTTATAATTCTATGTACAATTGACCTTTCATCTCTTTGTGAAGACAACCAAAATCGGGTTTTAATTTCATTTGTCTATTCATACTTCTTTTTTGAGTCTTTGCATAGTTAGAAGCGAAAATTTGGTTCCACTTTTCAACAATCTCACAAAAACTATATCCTTCTTCAATTAGTGTAATATCCTTGGTTCTTTGTTCTCTTTTTTTAGGCATAAGAAGTAATGAAATAAGAAAATTAATATCTAGAGGTAAAAACTTGCTACATATGATTTTATACCAAAAATTATATTATTGATTAATTTAAAATATCATTAAATTTTTTTTTGCTACTTTATAAATTTCGAATTCTTCTAACAAATGATATGAATTATTATTATTTCTAAGCTTCAAATCATTTTCATAAACATTGTTACGAGGTTTATAATCACACTATTAAAACCTTTGTAAATTGCTAAATCATTAAAATGTACAGTACTTTCAATAAATTGTATATCGCCATCAGTCCAATCAAAACTTCTCATATCATTGAATATTGCTTTTTGTGTAGCTCTAATTCTGCTTAGTATTGAATTTTTTATTTGACTTGTGTCAGTCTTTGAAATAAAACTTTTGTCAGCTTCAACCCAATAATGTTCATTTGGAGGACCATCTTTTGTACTCCAACCAACTGATTATAACAACCAACCAATTCACCTGTTTCTTTAAGTTTTAATATGGCTAAAGTATCTTCTATATTATAACATTTGTCTTCAAAATCTGCTCTTGAAAATCCGTCTTGAGTCCTACAGAATATTAAGTTAAATTCATAAGGTAAATCTTTTGGTTTATATTTTTTTATAAATGACTCATTTTTTATCCATCCAACTAGAAATTAAACATTTCATTTTACATTAAACAATTTTCCTCTTGAACATTTTAAAAGTAGTGAATCCGGTTGTCATCTATTGGTAAGATAATATTGAATAAGTTCTTTGTATAATTCTTTATTAAATACTCTTTCAAAAGATGCAATTTTATCATGAAATCTATAGAATTAATTTGTTTGAACTTTATCAACAGAATGATATCTTCTAATATATTTTTCAATTCAACAAAATTCTTCTTGTTCCAATCAAAAATATCTTTCTTCAATTCTTCATTATGTCCTATTCCCCATTGAACAACATAATTCCAGATATCGATTTCATTCAATTCCAAACCATCCATTTTTAATATAGATATAAACATAGTTTTCTCAATTGTTGAAATATTATTGGATTTTAAAAAAGATTCCAGATTTTTATCAAATAATTCACTAGAATAATCTTGAAGTAAATTAAATGATTGATGTTTTGATGATATTTTATGAACATAGATTATATTCAAATCGACCCATTCTTTTTTTTTTCAATAATTAAATAATTTTTGTAAATTTCAATCATTTCATTAAAGCCAAGTTCATCACATGCTTAAGGAGTTCAAAAATTTCATTTTCATCCATCATATATGTATCTTTAAAATAAATAAAAAAATATTTAATATTATTTAAATAACATTAAATTAATAAATAATAACTGGATATAGTTAATTGAATTCATCTTACCTTAAAAGAACTTCAAATATTTTTGGAGAAATATTTTCTTTTTCAAATAAAATCATACCATCTTCTGATTTTTTTTCCAATTGCCTGATAAAGCAGTATTAAAATATGTAGACCTTGCTTTCAAAATGGCGGAATTGGCTTTGAAAGTTTTATTATAATGCTTTGATTTCTACATCATGAAAAACTGGTTCACTCATCAATTTTGCAAAGTCATTTACAAATTTCTCAATAGATTTATTTTAACGGTAAAGCATCTTGTTGGAATCGATTGGTTTTTTGAATAATTTGTTTACGTTTTCTAATGTTGAAAAACTTTTAGACATTTTGAAAATTTGTAGAACATAAAATTTGATTTTCATTTTGAAATAGATTTCCAAAATGATACTAATATTAATATCACTTCTTCTTGCCGGAGTGTTAATAATATCTTTACTAACTAGGAACCTAAATGGGCCACTTGTATAAACTATTAATATTAGACTTATTAGATATATTGACATTAAATCAAGTTTAGTTCCGTAATGAATTGGTATAAGTAAATAACCATGCGACTTTTCAAAAAAAAAAAATTTTATTAAAATATTACAAATAACTAAAATACTAGTAAACTTTTTGATTTTTTTTTTTTTATAATTAACAACCAAAGATTCACTGTGACGAGCTTTGACCGGAATAATACGGTACTAATTGTAGATCAAAACTAATTAGCATCATCATACATATGTATATAAAATTTACTAATAAACTTTTTTTCAACAATTATAAAAATAAAAATTGCATCTTCTCATTCAAAAAAAAAGATACAACTATAAAATTAAGTAATATTATAAAAAATGTAATGGTCCACATGATGACAGAGTGGTTTTTTTAATTTTATTAGTAAAATCATCCAAAATGTTAAAAAATACTGTTAAACTTTGAAACGTATAGGCTCAATAACCAAACAAGTTAGAGTAAAAAAATTTCCATGGTTTTTTTCTCTGTGATTCAAAGAATAGCCCGACAGAGAGTTTTTTTTAATTTTATTAGTAAAATCATTCGAAATGTTAAAAAATACTGTTAAGTTTTGAAACGTATAGGCTCAATGACCAAACAAGTTAGAGTAAAAAAATTTCCATAGTTTTATTCTTGCGATTCAAAGAATAGCCTGACAGAGATTTTTTTTTTAAATTATTAGTAGATTAAGGATTTATAAGAATTCAAAGTTATGCGATTTTATTCATTACTGCTAATTTATTTATTATTAAATTAATTATCTGATCGATTATGCAGATAAAAAATCAATTTGAATTTCTTCCTTTACGTTGATATACAATCAGAAAATATGGAAAAGGCACTCAACTATTACCTACCCGCGTTTAAGAAAGATCCCGTAAAATATATGCATGGTATTCCTTCCGATTTTCACGATGAAGTAATGGTTAAGGAATTCATTGGGACAAGAGTATTGCAGAGGATCAAGGCAATGGATTAAACGAAAGACTTTTATTTCATGTAACAAAAAATAATGGAAATTCTGATGTTTACGGCAATGTGATTATTACCAAAGTAGATTGGAATATGAACAGGGAGAGTATCAAAGAAGTTAGATGCCTTCTCAAAGAAATATAAATTGGTATGGATCTTGATAATTACATTTAATCGAAAATCATAGGAAAGCTTTTATTAATACTACTATTAATTTTTTAACAATTCATATTTCCTAACAATGAAACTGGTTGACCCAGTGCGTCAGTATATCACATGACTGTGTGGCACAGTAGAACATATGAAATATATACATTCTTTTACATTGAAACTTAAGCATTAACTGCACAATTACATCATTAAAATATCTGTTATACATGGTAATTTACTAGATCTAAGAATTTTAGGGAAGATTGGCTACGAAATTTGTTAAAGCAACCTCATCTGTTTCCCTTAAAAACTTATATCCTTGAGTTGGCTCATGTATGAAGGAAAACTGATCTAGAACATCAGTCACAACAAGAGAGCTGTCTACTTGATTGCCAGGTCTTCTCTGCCAAACTCTGAGAGTATTTATACTCACCCACTTACTCCATCCATTATTATCTCCGATAGCAACTTCAAATGCTGACGATACATATAAAACACGAGCAGGGTATCCATATCCACAAGCATTGACGCTGAAATTTTTCCATCCTGTTCTTCCAAGCTTGCTACAGACGTAATAAGGAAGGGTCGTTTCCGGCGCACCTGAATCGATGACAGATTTATACAGTTTATTACCCTTGACAGGATTACGAAAATTATACTCGAGTATAACAGAATTTGTTGTTCCTAATCTTCTAACTTGAATTCTAACCTTTATTGTAAATAAGCAAATAACAAAATACATGTTTATTTTTTGCAATAGTCTTGGCACTGATATGGTACTGATTGGCACTGATATAATACTGATTTGCAACAATAACCAATATTTCAGACCATGTGTTCTTGATTAGCGCGTCAAGCAGACACTGTCCTTGCTGCTGGAGATTTCATAAGATCATCACGACGTGATTTATCAACTGGTAAATATATTGCTCCAGGCATTTCTTCTTCGAGATCCTCTAGTTCCTTGCTCGTATATTCTGATGTCCCGTATTTCTTCACTTCTTGTCTATACACCAACACCCAACTGTCCTTATGCTCATCAAATGTTCCTTTATCGAGATTGTTGTAGAAGAAGATAAGGTTGAGCCCTGCTTCATCATCAAATTCCAAGGTAGATTCGTCAGCCAAGAAAAAGAAAGCTGTGGCTCTGACGCAATCTTCCATTGAAGCAGGCCACCTGAAGTTCTGGCCCACACGATCTACAAAGGTATTAGTTAGAAACAATATCAAAGCACTGCCATATGTATTGCTTGTGCGTTATTCGGAGAAAATTGCAGTCTTACCCAGAAACTTCTGTGCTTGTCCTGGTTCTGTTTCATACTCGTGAAGGGACTCGACTGTCTCAGGTGGATTGGAAATTTCAGTCGTAGTAGGGTTTAGTGCCTTGGGTGGGTCGGAAGCTGTATCATTAAGTGTTTATTGAGAACGAAATCGTTCATTTAATGACTCTGGAATGTTTAACAATGACAAAAACCCGAACCTCTTTTTCTGAGGGACTTCAAAAGTTTGGGCATCTTAAATATCTTCTTTTCTGTAAACACAAGTCAATAACTGAGAAAAAATCATATAGAATTAATGCAGTCGTGTGTACTTACTTTTCCCTTTGTTGTTAAGTTTCGAATCAGTTGTTGCAGAAGCAGTAGACATATGGATAAAACTAGCGAGAGTTATAGAATTAGTGTAGAAAAGAAATTGTCCGAAAGAGTTTTTTTGTAAGAATAGATGAATTGGGAAAAAATATTTTTTTATGTGATTAGCTAATCATTACGTATACAATTGATTTCCGCGAGTTATTGGTCAAAATAATTCAATCGATCATGTGCCATCAAGCAAGAGTTTATTTGATGCGATGGAGATAAAAGTTCTGTCAATCGGAGGAATTCAGTTATTCTATGATCGCGAACTTGAATTTATATCACAACTTAGATAAGGTTTATTATTACACCATTCGTCATGTATACAATAATTCCAATGCCTCTGTTGCAAATTAAACACCATTATCTCGATTTTGCATTGTCCATGGTAAGATAGATAAAATTTTTCCGATGCTACATGCACATGGTTAAAAGGATAAATCCCGAATGTGGGCAAAACTTTATTTGGGTTATACAATACACAAGTTAAAAAAGACACAAAGTGCCCTAACATTTCGGCTATTTTTATGAATCATGGTTTCATGTGCCACTCTGACCCTCCCGAATTTGAAAAAATGGAGTTTATAAATAACAAATGTCATAATGGAAATTTGGTTACCTATAGCAGATTCAGATAAATTAGTACCTAATATTGGACATATCAAGAACAATAAAGGTGTGATTTTAAAAGGAAATGTTTGCAAAAGGGGTGGTTATATATGGATTGATTTAAGCATTAATAGTATTTGTACATCCATATATTAGTTGCGCAAGCCTTTATCTCTAACCCAAAAAATAAGCCTTATGTTAACCACATTAATGGTGTCAAACATGATAATCGGGCTGTCAATTTGGAATGGGTAATCCCTCAAGAGAATTCAGAATGTAAAATATTCCCAAATATTGGTCGTGGTAATTCTAGGCAAATTGTGCAGATGGGAAAATTATCCAGATTTGTAATTTATTTGTCTCGCAGGCAATACACTTAAAATCGCAGGAAATAGCTAGCATTTCAAAATTTTGTAGCAGAAAGCGAAATACCGCTGGTGGATGGTGTTGGATGTATTATGAAGATTATATAAAACAAGATCTCAATGAAGAATGGAGAGAAATAGAACTTGATTCACGAAAATTCAGAGTTTCATCTCTAGGAAGAGTTCAATTAACTAATGGCTTGACCACTAAAGGATCATTATATGCAGGGTATTACAGAATCGGCCATGTTCACAAATATTGTGTTCACCATTTAGTGGCATTAGCATTTTGTCCCAAAGAAGAAGGCAAAGAATTTGTGAATCACATTGATGGTGATTCTACCAACAACAAATCGTTTAATCTCAAATGGTTTACACCAAAAGACAATGTACAACATGCAGCGTGTCTCAGGCCTTGGGATGGTTGGATGTGTCAGTGTGCTGTCAAACAGATTTTTGATGATGGATCTTTCCGAAAATTTCCATCCTTAGCTGAAGCATGATGCTTGCTCAATCAAGTATCTGGAGAGTATGCAGAGGATGTTTAACTCATGCTGGCATATATCATTGGGAATATATGGATGCTATGTCACATGATAAACTTTGAATAATTCAATTATATAAGATATCAACTAATGAAAGAGCATATTAATCTTTATTTTTTTGTTATCATTACAGTTTTGTGATACAATATTTTATTAAATAAAAGGTAAGATTGCTGACCTGGCAGGTCAGTATGTCTTGTGACTATGGCACAGGATTTACATTACTCTTTAATGCTATCTACAATATAGTCAATATTTTTCCAACTTAATTTTGAAATGGCTAATGCCAAATAAGATTTAACTCATTGTATTTTATCAATACCAATTTCATTCAAAAGATCATATGGGGAGTTTTCTAGCAAAAGGGACCTTAGTTCATATTAAATTATTTTGAGAAAATAGCTCCTGAAAATTTGTTACACGAAAAATTGATTGTTTAGAAATAGTACTTTAAAATTTTTAACTTCCGGAAAAAAAGAGTTGCTGGATATTTTTCCTTTTTATTTTTTTTTCTTGTACAGATTTTCCATATGCATAAAAAAAATTACCAAAATTTAATATATATATATGCCATTACTTCAATATTTTAGAAAAGAACAGCCAGAATCACAATTTTTGTCTTTTGAATTTTCAGAAGAAAAGTATTGACTCAATTAATATCTATTTCAAAATATATATTTACATGTTTTATTTTCCCTTATTCAAAAAATAAATTATAAATAAATAATTAGTAT